TAATTTTACTGATTAAAAATGAATAAAAGTATATTACTAGTTATGAATCTTATTGATATAATAAAAATAATAATCAATAACTTTCTAAACTATTTTAATCACTTGTTATTTCAGAAAATAAATAAAAATAAATTACTATAAACTTTATAATTTAATTATCTATCACTAAGTCTAAATATAATATAATAGTAATTTTTATTGATAAGTTATCTAAAAAAGCACACTTTATATTAATAATCATAATAATAATAATATTAGATATCATTAAAATATTTTTTGAGAATATCTTTAAATAGTATAACTTATGCTTAATAATAATTTTGGACAGAGATGCTAAATTTATAAATAGATTTTGTAAGTTATTATTTGAATAACTTAAAATAAAACTAGTAATGTTAATAACTTTTTATCTGCAATCAGATGTCAAACAGAAAGACTTAACAGAACTCTTAAAAAAATACTTAGAATTTATATAATAGATAAATAAGACTAATAGGATAAAAACTTCATGTACCATGAGCGTGATTATGGAGTTCGATAGTACAGGTAAATTTCTGAATAGAAACTGTACGTGAGATTCATGCGCATGTATAGAGTATTTGAATTAGCTTGATTAGAAATTGGCTGTCTGGTCCGAGAGACCAATTAAACGGTACGTGTATCACGTTCCTCATATTTACGTAAGTTACTCCGAAGAAAACAATACAGAGGAGCTCGGATACATGTAAGTTTGGAATGGTTATGTATAAAGACCATTTTGTGAGTGAAATCATGATAGACATTTCGTATGTCGTGGAATACCAAATACCGTTCTAGATGATGCAAATTAGAATCCAATTTCAAACATTATCAGCTGCTCAAAACCTTGTCTACATTAACATCAGCATCGCGGAACTGTTTTGACATTTTACAGTTCTGGTGGAAAGTAATGGTGGGATGATCATATAACGTTGAATCAATCATACAAAATTTTGAGATATTAAAGATTATTTACAAATATATGAAATTAGAAAAATTCAAAAATTTATTAAGAAATCTGTCTCAAGTCATTAATTAAAAGTTTGTTCAGTTGATATAATTATAGTTAAAATTAGATATAAAATAAATGTATAAATGAAAATTTACTTACAAATTTTAAAAAACAAAATTATGGATAAAAGATGGACAAAAATAGATAAATTATATTAAATAAATTTAACCGCTAATACTTTCCGCCAGACCTGTAGTATTGTAGCTCTTCATATTTTTTTTGCAAAAGAATTGAAAGTGCATGGTGAAGATATCGATATACAAAAATCATCCTACATGTAAACGAAGAATTCATCTGAATAGAGATACATGTACATGTATTTCTAATATAAATTCTTATTAACAATAAACTTAAATTTAAACATAACTTATTCTCTGGTTATGCACATACATGTATTTCGAATTTAATATACCAATTGAAAATCACAGATTTAGATGAATGAAGACATCAAGTTCCTTCAAGAAAAATCACAAATTTATATCAAATAAATAAGACACATTCTTTGTCAATTAAAGAAACTATTTGCTGTTTTTATTTTAATTTATAGAACTCTAAATTTAGGCGTAATAACAAATAAATAGGGCTCTTAGTATCGTCTCTATTTTAGCAGAGTTTAAACTTTAGATTCCTGTAATTCTAATATAGTATTATAAATCTACAATGTCCGTCAGAATTAAGTATTTCATACCTGGATACTTTTTTCTTTATTATACTAAGTTTTCGCAATTCTTCAAACCAGTTGGTTACATTGATTAGGCTGGATTTAATGGTTCCTAAAGTTAATTTTAAATAATATCGATAAAAGTTGTCACTTTTTCATATACTTTTTTATAATTATCTAATTACGTAGTGACATATTGGCGCATAGAAAAATATTAATATATATTTCTATGACTTTCTACCGAATTTTAATACAATAGCATTGGTGGCTTTAAAGCTAAGCTAATTTCGAATAAATTTGCGATCTTGAAATATTTTCGTTGACGGGCTGAACGAATAGTAAAGGGTTTTAATCCTCGAAAAAAATTACGTAATCCAAACTGTACTAAGAACTAAAGTTTAATTTTTATTTTGGACATAGTGATTTTGAGTTGTTGAAGACATGTCATTTAAATAGTATTTTTAAATAGACGAATTGTAATCATATTCATAATTCTTAACAAAGTATAGAAAAACGCCTCTTTTTAAACAATAGATTTTAGAAGTAAAATTAAAAAAATTATTATATCAAAAACGCAAATACAAATACAATTTAATCAATCCAAAAATCCTCTTCTGATAATTCACCCCAATGTGCAATCTCCATTTTAATCCACTTTTCGATCGCATGCAAAACCTCAAGATTCGTAATCGATGTACGACCGGTCAAATAAGACCTCACACACTGGTAAACATGAATTTCTGGTCGCCCCTGAATCAATTGCTCCAACTCGTAAGCGACACCTTTTTTGGTGACGTTATCGTCAAGTCTTACCCGTCGTTCATAATGTGCACGAAATTCACGGGTCAACCATTGTCGTTGTAGTAAACTCCATTTCTCGCGTTTGTCCGGTCGATTTCTTCGATATCGCTTAGAGTAACTGGGAAATTTCGAGGAAGATGCTGATGTGGATAATTTGGATATTTCATTTTTTGGGGAGCTGCAGTATTCTGAAACAGGTGTGTTTGGAGATGATGGTGGTGGTATATTATCGTCATCATTGTGATCCATTTCAACTTCAATCTCGGTGTTCGTAATCTGTTGTGATACAGGATCAGGATGCTGTGCTGTTTGGAGATAAATTGGCTGTGAATCGGAAAAAGGCCAAAATGGTACCTTCATAAATTCTTCTTTACTAATATTCATAGTGGTATCATTCGAAGTATTACTTTTTGAAAATGAAGAAATTGAGGGAATTTGGGGTAATATTATCTTTTTACTATTTATGAGGTTATATTGAGGAATTTCTGTATCTTTTTTAACATTGATGTTGTTGCCATCATTTGATAACTGAGAGAATAATTGTGCGAATACTTCAGACACTTTTTCGTCATTTATCGACTCAATTGTCTGGTACAATTCACGCTGGCAATCCGCCATTTTGGTGATTGCTTGTGCTAACTGAAAAATTATTCAAATTTTCTATTAATTTTCGGAGGTAACTTTTCATTTGATGAAAATTTTTTCTCTGGAATTTTTACCTTTCGATATTCCATCTCTTGATTCCCAATACGTTCAAGTGCAAGTCTTCTCTTATCATCTGGGATAGCGGCGCTGACACCTGTATTGATTGGGATCTCGTTTGTGATTTTGCTTTGATTGTTGTTTCGATTTTTGTGATTTTTGCTTTTGCTGTTCTTGTTGCTTTTACTAGAACCAGCTTCTGATTCCATGTTACTAGAGAACTTGTGCGTTCCATTAATCATAATGAATTTTGACATTCTAAAAATATATATTAAAATTATTTATTTATATTTAAGAAATTTTTTGTTCCTTTTTTTTCCCTTGGCTGCGTGCATATAGCGCACACACACGCAAGATAAGTTGAGTTGATTGTTGATGTTTTGTTTGTTGTTGTTGTTGTTGCTGTTGCTGTTGTTGTTGTTGCTGTTGTTACGTATTTAGCCATTTGTGATACCAAACACATAATGATAACACACAAACACACACACACAACCACACATCGTTTGTGTGATCTTCATTCGATTAATGTACATGTAATACATGTAGGAGGAACAGATCGAGAATTTATAATCAAAAAATATATATAAATACATGTAACGGTAACTAAAATCTATTCAAACAATCACAAATGGAATTTATTACTCAAGGATCTAAAATCTCGAGCACTTCTATTAAAAGTTCACCAGAATGAGGATGCGAGCTAGGATTCAAGATTGCATTTTTGAATGCGGGCGTCTTTCGAACAGACTTGAAATTTTCAACCACATATTTCATCACATGTTCTTTCAAGTCTGGCCATTTCCACGCTGCACCGAATAATAGACCAGCTGCATTGTCTTCGTTTAGATCTTTGAATATTTTCACCTTTGCGCGTTGTCGCAAATCGGCAATCAAGTATTTGTCAGCGATTGCGAATAGATCTTAATATTTTTACATAATTGGCTTTTTTAGTTTTGTTAATTTTTTTTTAATATCTCGCAATATGAGGAAAATAACATTACCCAATGCTGATTTGTGTGATTCCAATTTATCATCGAACAGCACTTGATCCGTATACAAAAACCTCAGCATCTCCAAAAAAGTAGCGTGATCGAAATCCGGAACATCAACCACAAACTTGTATCCATTTGGCGGGCTCGACACAGCCTGTGGCAACTTCGAAGCTTGTAAAGACGTATTCGATTCACTATTGTTATTATTCAGTGATAAGGCATGTAACGATCCCGATATAGAATTTTGTCGTTGTTTTGGTGCTTTTTTCTGTGACTCTGACCATTTCTCTTGAAATACTTTTTGAAAATATTCGGATCGCTTCGAAAGTATCGTGCTACTTGCGTATATAAGTGTTCCTTTTACGTTGAATTGTACATCGACTGTCTCTTGTTTATTGAGCGTAGCGGACCAAGCTTCGATAAGTGGATCGGGTATTGGCTTTGTGGGAAACGGGGTTTTCATACTCCATGGTGTGAATTCCGTCTTGTCAAACATTACTCCGAGTATTATTTCATCGGGTAGAACTGACCTTTTGCAGAAACAATCAAAGCCTATTATCAAATATTTATAAATATTAATTTACACGCAGTGGAATTGTGATCATAAAGTAACAAATCAAAGAATGTTAACAAACCCCACAATGGGAATGTTGCTGAATAATCATCGAGTGATAAATTTTTCCTTATGTTGAGTCTATAACAGCAATTGGTATTAATATTATCCTTCATTTCAAACAATGAAAAATTTGATAATGTTCTCACGTATTTTCAATGGATGTCAATGGATCTGACGGCCTTAAGAACAAGGTAGCCGAAATCTCGTTACGTCTTGCCCATATCTCGGTTGAATTTTTTTCCTCACTATTTGCAATCGCACACAAATAAACCGAACAATATTCTGGGTCGTCTTTGCATGACTGAATAAAATATTCAAATTTTTTAGTTTAAGTCGCTGTATATTCGGAAACAAAAACCACAAAACTTATGCCTTACCGGCGTAAATTCCAGTTGCCAAAACATATCCTCGTGTGTGCCAAAAGGTGGACTATAGACTCCTCGAGTCATTTTGGAGACATTCGCTAAAAGAAACTCATATGTTCCTCTTGCTTTGAAAGCTGCCGTCGCCATGAAGTAATAATTGAATAGTGTATGTCTCTCTTAATTTGGAAATAATATCGGTATTTATATACATGTAATATCTTTATATAATAACGACAACGGTATGTATCGGTTGGCTGATTGTACATGTACATGTATATGTAAATAACGATAAACGTTGATTGTTGCAATACATGTACATGTACTAGTTTTTTTTTGTCAAACCATATCGATAACTTGATCCCTCTCCGTAAAATGATATGTGGATTCGTTCATTATGAACGTACACTGCATAATCTTCCTTGCAATCAAGTTTGATGCCTTCAAAAGGAGTTCATCATTCTAATTGATGTAGTAAAGTTTAATAATAATGTAAAACGAAGGATTGAATGACGTCAACAATGATGAATATAACAAGAAAACCATACTTTAACCTGAAATTAATCTAGATGCGAATTTTCAACACCAGTCACAAAAACCTAGCCGATAGAATAGTTAATGGAAAATAAATCCTGTTAAAAACCTGAAATGCATTCAAAGCTAAATGTCAAGGAATTTATTGCAACTGATCACAAATTAGTTTATGATAATCTATGAGCTGAAACCTCGTAGGTCCTCGTTGAAGAATAACCCATGAAATAGGATGATGACAACTTTCTTTTGTGAATCAATTAAAATTTCTTTACTATCTACATGAGGAGAAAACTTAAAATAATGAATTGACAATAACTTTCCTTTGATCTTCAATCAAATAAGCACTAATTTATCGATCTGCATTTTTTAATTGCCTAAGAATACCTTTTCGTTTTGGGTAGAAAATCTGCTATTAATATATTATGGAAATTTCTATTAACGCATTCTTTGTGGTGTATCGAGAAACACATTGATATTTTTTAGCATATCAAACAATAATGCATCTGCCGCGATCAATATATCCATGTTTGTTGGTAAGCTTGGATCATTTTAGATTTCTATAACTATCTGGAAACTAGATTTAATTCTGGAAATCAAAATCATACTTGAGCGAAATTTCGAAATTCTAAGAGTAATATTAAGTATTTTGTTTAGCCCAGAAACGATGGGCTGAAAATAATTTTTTGAAACGATAATTTTCAAAATATGCAACGGCTTATGATTAAAACCGAATATCGATATGAGAATTGTCTCAGTAACTGATACTGACGGTAATAATTTAATCAAAGCGTTAATTTCTTCAAAGTCTTGCAACCCTTATGCTTTCATAATAACGTTAACTCATAAATTAATATCAATATTGTTAAACGACTAGGCTATTTACAACTTAAAATGAGATTTCAATTTAATATTTATAATATTAAGATGATGATTACATTAATCTAAACTACGTAATCGAAAATACATTGTCATTTAAAATTCATTAGCTGTGCTGTGTGATATACTTGTACTACATGTAATACAAATAAGTATATGTACATGTTTGTTTTTTTTACCGTTACTTCATGTATATCGATAAAGATGAACTCAAAAACTCATCATTGTAATGAATGTGCCGATTGTCAAAAGAATAGATACTGCGATGCGTGTTTAGTTCACAATACTCATGATTGTAGTAAATGTACTATTTGTCAAGAAAATAAGAGCTGCAGGGATTGTTTCACATATCATCAAAGAATTTATAACGATGAATTATCTAGCAGAGATGAAGATGACGACATAATAAAAAAATTCAACAAGATTAATAAAAAATATTCTGATGGGGCTGATAAATATGAATCCTTCGAATGGATTCCTTTTGAAAGATTTACCAATGTTGAATATCTTACAAAAGGAGGTTTTGGGTCAATTTATAAAGCAACCTGGTTGGATGGACCAATAAATGGATATTGGAATCATGAAGAAAATAATTGGAAACGATGGGGAGAAATAGAAGTCGTGTTGAAATCATTACACAACTCAAAGCAAATCACTGATGAGTTTAAAAACGAGGTAAAAGATGAATATTTTCTAAAGTGAAAGTTGCTTTTTATTTTCTGATACAGACCATTTTTTCAAAATAGATTGATATTGCTCTTAAATGCGGTATGGGCTATTATGGAATAACTAAAAATCCAGCTACAAATGAATTTTCGATAGTGATGGATTATGCAGAAGATGGTGATCTCCGTAGATATATTAATTCCAACAAATTGACTTGGAATCAAAAATTAGACTATTTAAAAGAGATTATCAATAATCTATCAAAAATTCACAAAGTAAAGTTGGTGCATCGTGACTTTCATCCTGGAAATATTTTATTACGGGATAAAACTCCTCAAATTGCTGATTTTGGACTTAGCATTCAAGCAGATAAAGGGAAATCTAACCAAGAAATTTGTGGAATACTTCCTTATATGAGTCCAGAGGTGCTATGTGGAAAGAAATACACCTCTGCTGCAGATATTTATAGCTTTGGAATGGTCGTGTACGAAATTGTAACTGGTGAACGACCATTTGCTGAACGAAGTCATGATAAAGATCTCGCCTTAGAGATCGTTATTAAAGAAGTAAGACCTACGATACCAAATAATGTTCCCGGATGGTGCAAATTTATTATTGAAAAATGTTGGGATCCTATTCCAGAAAACAGACCAACTGCCCAGGAACTTGAAGACTTCATCCGGTCCATCTACTTTGGATACATACCTAAAGCGAATGCGTTGCATTTTCAGTACTACAGTTCTTTAGAATCTCCTAAAACACTTGAAGAAATTAATGAGCGTCTTAGATTGGAATATCAGGAATTAATTGAACTCGATGAAAAAATGGAATTACAAAAAAGCATTCCTACAAAAAAACAAATCCACTCAAATGCAATTTACACGAGTCGAATGTTTACTTCAAAATCAATATCAATCTCAACTGATACAGGTACACAATTGATTTTTATATTTAATCAAATGACATTTCAGATTGATTTAAACATATCAAACCTTTAGGTTCCACAAGTATCAGTTTGTATTTTCCAGATGAAGGTAAATTTACATTTGATATTATTAGTTTCATCAATTTCTGTAATTTATTAATTTAGTTTTCTTTGGTGGTAAAAAAAAGATTTCGATATAAGTATGCCACACGAGATCGAAGATATGCCGAATGATTTGTAAGAAAAAAAAAACTACAGTTTAGATATTATGGTAAGCTGATTTTAAACTGAACCAAAAGTTGTTTCAATTTCTTTGTTTTCATAAATGATTTTTATTAATTTTTTAGATTACTTTTCAAACTTTTTGTCTAATTGCCATCTGGTCAATTAAATTTAATCTTATGCAAATATGTAATTGGAATTATTAATACCTAGCCGTTTATATCATATAGCGCGCGAATTTAGATAATAAAATATCAGATGTGTGATGATACTAAAACCATTTTATAAAATAGCCTCTATAACGGAATTTATAATTCCAAGTGTTCTTTGATTGTAAAGAAAAATCTGAAGCTTAGTACTACGGTTCTTTAGAAAATCTTTAAAATGGATGATGAATTTAGAGTATTTGTCGGACTCATGAAATATCTGGTTATTTTTGTCGTGATGTTGAACGTCACGTTATATTTGTACAAAAAAAAAAGGTAAGCAACTATAAACTTACAATTCTCTCAAATATAAAAGGTCATATAAATGAATTCAGATTCAGATCGATGATATTCTCGCAAAGATTTCAAGGAGCGTGACCAAAGATAAATTCACTTAGCAAATCTGTGCACCCACTCACCTATATAATTAGAGAGGTCATAGCCGCGTCACGGGATCTTTTTGTAAGTATAAAATAGGAGCAAGATAAATTCGTTCAAAGAATTTGGTTGTCAATTTGGTTAACAAAATGTGGTAGAGCAAAATCATGAAAGCAAGAAACGATGGAGCACGTGGACAAGCGAATGAATAATCAAGTGAGCAATCAAGAGAGGTTAAAAGCGAGAGCAAGGAGAAGCAAACAAGGCAAGTTTGGGCAAGCGAAATGAATCGAGCTGGCAGTACAAAGTAGGTGAGCGAGAGTGAAAGTATAAACAAGCGAAAGTGAATGAGATCAAGCGGACAAGCGAAAATGGACAAAGAGCGCGAGTGAAGAACGAGTGAGAAAGCGAGAGTGGACAACAGCGAGATAACAAGAGTGGACAAGCGAAAATGGGTAAGTGAGAGTGGGCAAAGAGAATAAGTAGGCAAAATTGAGTAAAGAGGTGAGTTAAAAAGTAAAGAAGACAAGCAAAATTGAGATAAAAAAGGAGACTAATGAAACCTTTTATAAGTACCAGAAATTAAAATTCAAGCTCAAAAAAATTTAACCGAACCATGTAGAGAATGGAGAAAGAATATCAAAATGATTAACAAGCTCAGAGAAAGAGGAATATTATTAGAAGTTTATGAAGAATATAATAAAATTGGCAAAGTAATTCTATCTCACTTTATGTATGAAGATGACTTTGTTTATGAAATCATTTATGAGGGTTCTGTAGAAGCCTTTGTCACTAAAATATTTCAATATATTTATCAACAACTCAGTTCTAATTGAAGACAACAACTTGCTTACTTGAATTATATTAATGTGAAACTCTGTCAAGATTATCTAATTCCTAATGTGATAATTATATATAATCTGAACTCCCAGTTAAACTAGATAAAGAAAAATATCTTATGACTTTAAAGTCAATTCCAGAAGCAGTAACAAATAAATTAATTGAAAAAATTAGCTTTACTCCTATTTTAACTCAATTTCCTCAACTTGAATTGAATAAGATACATGAAAGATTTAACATTATTTATCAAGTACTTAATGAACTTTTGTAACAGTTTAATAATTATTTAAAGAATGTCTCTGTGAAACAAAAAAATATCTACTATGCTATCAAAGTTTATAATAATTAAAATAAAGGAAAATTGCCAGAAAAAGCACATCTAACTGATACTGGATATGTTTATTATACTAGAAAAAAAGTAATCAGAATTTTATCTCATCAAGTCATATTAGTAGATATATATATTGTCATAGAAATTTTTGTAGAAGTTATATATCAAGTAA